GCTCTGTTGTGGGTTTCCAGAGCATCCTCTACTTCTCCTAAGTCACACATATCATGTGCTGGAATTTTCTCTCATAACCCCTTTATTTATTTTTCTAAAATAATTATTTATTTAATTAATTTATTATTACTTTTTCACATGAGTTTGCCAAAGATAAAGAGGGAGAGTGAGAAAGCAAGCTGCCAGGTCTGTCACTTGAACTGCAGTTGGCCATGTGGGAAGTCCACAGCCACCTGCTGGCCCCATAATCACATCTCATATTTAATATATATATATATTTAACATGTATGTATGTATGTATGTGTATGTGTGTATATATATAAATATGTGTGTGTGTGTGTGTGTGTGTGTATAAGCCCCAACAGTCCCTCTCTGTGTATGCTTTTAGTCTCCTTACCCTGTTGCCTATAATATAGGGAGGCATGTAACAAGCAGGGCAAGAAATTCCTCCATTTCTAAAGCATGAAGTTTCTATTGTGTTCTTACTGGACCTCTGAGGCAGATAATAGCAATGACAGTTAAAGATGAACATTTTACTATGTAACTTGTTAACTGTATACAAAAACCACTTCTTCTAAAAGTTGAATAAACTATAGTAAAAGTTTCATAGTAAATGGTTACACAGAATGTAGCTTTAGATTAAAATACATTGGATTTTGAATTTTTAAAATTTTGTAAAATTTACAGTAACATGTGTAATATATGTTATAAGCATGTGATAATTTTTCTAGTAGAATTGGAAAGTAAAAAAAAAAATGGTAGAAATAACTTAATTTTAAATCTACGAAAACAAAGAAGGACATCAAAGGACATTATTGAGAAAGTGTAAAGACAACCCACAGAATGGGAGAAAATATTTGCAAAGCATAGCTCTGATAAGAGATTAATATCCAGAACATATAAAGAACTCTTACAACAATAAAACAATCCAATTCAGAAATAGGCAAAGGACTTAAATAGATTATATTTCTCCAAGAAAAATATACAAATGGCCAATAAGCATATGAAAAGATGCTCAATATCACTAGTCATTAGGAAAATGCTAATCAAAACCACAATGAAATATCACTGAATTAAATCCATTAGTAAGTCTACTATAAAATATTGGATCATTGGAAAAGTTACGATGTACTTGGCCCAGCTGAGGTAGAGCATGCTAGTTGACAGGGCTACTTGGTAGGCTGAGATCACATGGAGGCCCAAGTTTTATTTCTAGCCCATCCTAAAAGCCAGACACAGTGTCACATGTGTATAGTACCAGTTTTTGGGGAGGTTGAGGCAGGAGGATCAGAGCATAGCCAGACCTTGTCTAAACAACAACCCCCAAAATTGTAAGTGTTGATGAGGATGGAAATTGGAATCCTTGTGCTTTGCTGTCAGGAATATAAAATTACTGTAGAAAACAGTTCGGTAATTCCTCAAAAAGTTAAATATTGAATTGCCATTTGATCCAGAAATTCCATTCCTAGACATATACCCAGAAGCACTGCATACAAAATGAATACTTGCACATCAGTGTTCATGGCAGCAAAATTTACTACAGTCAAAAGGCAGAAACAATGTAAGTCTCCATCAATAGCTGCATAAAGAAAATGTACTGTATATATACAGTAGAATATTTTCAGCCTTAAAAAGTAATGGAATGCTGATACTCACTACAACATGAATAAATCTTGAAAACATACTAAGTGAACTAAGCCAGCCAAAAGAAGAACATATAGCATATGATTCCACTTATCTGAAGTACTTAATAGGTAACATCATAGAAAAGGAAAGTAGAATAGAAGTTACCAGAAACTTGGGGGGATTGAGAGTGTTGTTAGTTAATGGGGGCCTGCGGATGGCATAATTGATACATTGTGAGACTCTCACATGGCCAACTGCCATTCGAGTCCCAGACTCAGTGGCTTCAAACTCATGCTGGGCATGTGCGTGTGTGTGTGCCTAAGATCCCAAGAGGAGAAGAGAGGAGAAGGGATGGTAGCATGACCCCCACCCTCTGTGGGGGTGATTTCTTGCTTTCTGTGTCTGTCTCTGTGTGTGTGTGTGAGAGAGAGAGAGAGAAAGAGAGAGAGAGAGAAAGAGAGAGAAAGAGAGAGAGAGAGAGAGAGAACCCCTCCCAGTCGGATGTAGCCCTGCTATAATCCTTTTCTCCCATTTTTTTCATCCTGTTAAGGCTGGAGAAAAACACACCCAGTTTGTTTTTCAAGTGACCCGGCTGGGACTTTAACTGTGGTTGGCCATTTGGGATTCGGCTTCCTAGGCAGGACTATTAACTGCTGCACTATGAGCCCTCAGTGCCTGCAGAGTTAACCACTGCGCATGGGGATGCACATTGCAGCTGTGCCCTTACAGAAGGATCAAGTCTGCCTAACTCAGGCATAGAGCTGATGACTAAATGAAACTAGAAACATGGAAAACTAAACACATTTAGTGTGCATTCTCTGCCTATGTTATTTGGTAGTATTATTTCTCTTATTTTGGTCTAACCTTAAGTATTGTTAAATATATTTTTTTATTCTGTTTTATATGTTTATAGATATAACATTATAAAATCATACTGGTAATATTTATGTGTTACTGGGGCTTTTTTTTAAGAGAAAGGTTGTAATGACATCAAATTGAACTGTCTGCTGTAAATTAAAGTTTAGAAAGTCAAGGGACACTTTGTTTCTGTTTGAATAGTATCATCTCCTTTTTTGTAATCTTAGACTAAACCAGTATCATTTTTTATGTTTTTGGAGGGATTTTTGCTATAGGGCACGTGTGCTCACCAGACAGACAAAGAGAGACAGAGAGACAGAAAGTGAGAAATCATCCCCCTGCAGGGATGGCTACACCGCATTCCCATCTCCATTCTCTCAGGATCTTGGGCACGCACACACATGTGCCCAGCATGAGTTTTAAGCCACCAGGTCCGAGGCTTGAGCCGCGGTTGACTACATGGGAGTCCAGCAACATAGCCATTATGTCAACTGCTGGTCCTTAAACCAATATCGTTAAAGTAGAAACAGTAGTTAACTATTTTGTAGACTTTACAGAATGACAAAGTTAATATAAGAGTTGAGATAATCAGGAAAATGATCAAAATGCCATTATTATTCTTCCCTTCCCCCTCCTCAATTTTCAATGTGTATTTTTCATTTGAAAATTATCAGTAAAGAATATCAATTATTTTTTTAAGAATTACTATTTTTAAAATAATTATTTAATTTTATTTATTTATTCATTTATTATTATTTTTTTTATTTGACCAGAGAGAGAGAGAGATATAGAGAGAAACAGAAAGTGAGAAAGGAAGCCACCAGGTCCAGGACTCAAACCGCAGTTGGCTGTGGAGTATCCAGCACCTTAACCACCACGCCACCTGCTGGTCCCAAGAATGATTTTATTTAGCTTTATTTGTTTATTTTAATTTGACTAGAGAGGGTCAGAGTGAGAGAGAGAGAGAAAGGCAAAGTGAGAAAGCAAGCTGCCAGGTCCAAGACTTGAACCATGGTCGGCCATGGAGAAGTACAGTGCCCTTAACCATCATGCCACCTGCCAGCCCCAAGAATATCTGAATTCTAATCTTGTCTAATTGTGTGACAATTTTTTCTCAGCCTCAATTTCCTTAACTGTAAGAAAACATAACAATAGTACATCATAAGTTATGAGAGTTAAGTGATTTGATATGGAAAAATGTCTGTAGAACACTGCTTGCATCTCAAGTGTTTAGTAAATATAAGCCTCTTTTATTATTGTTGTTGTGGTTATGATGATATACCCATCACTTATTCAACCCTAGGATGAATATTATGAGTTTTTAAGAATTCAATTTTATTTGTTGTTACTACTTTTTAATTTGCTATAGGGCACATGTGCTTACCAGAGAGAGAGAGAGACAGAGAGAGACAAGGGAAAGTGAGAAGAGTGAGAAGACAAGCCTCCAGGTCTGGGAGTCAAACTGCAGTCAGCCATGTGGGAGTCCAGTTCCTTAACCACACATCACCTGAATTATCTTTTTTTTTTTTTTTTTCCTTGAGAGAGATTTTTGCTATAGGACACATGCACTCACTGGAGAAACAGACAGGGAGCAAGTAATCACCCCCCAGAGGGTTTGGTCATGCCACAGTATCTTCTGCATTCTCCTCTCGGGATTTTAGGCATGCATGCACATCCTCCCAGCATGAGATTCAAGCCACTGGGTCCAGGACTCGAACTGTGGTCGACCATGTGGGAGTCCATTGCCTTAACCACTATGCCACCTGCTTACCTGAGTTATCTTAAAGGAAGTATTTAGAGGTAATATGGATCTTTTGTGAATGTGAGACCTTAGCCAAATGGCCCTCCTAGCTCCTTTGGCTCAGCGATAGATTCTTTTTATTTAATTATTTTTTTATAATTATTTAATTTGATTTATTCATTCATTTATTTAATTTGATAACAGAGAGAGAAACAGAAAGTGAGAAAGCAAGCCATCAGGTCCAGGACTCAAACCATGGTCAGCCATGTGGGAGTGTCCAGCACCTTAACTACTCTACCACCTGCTGGTCCCACTCATAGATAGATTTTGATAACATTTCTGTAATGAACTGTATGGAACAAGAGAAAAGACCAAATGGAAGACTTCGTTGAGAAGAAAGGACCTGAAATGAGCCTTGAAAGAAGATTTGCAAAGGCTGAGAGGAGAAGCCTACTTTTAATTTTCCCCCTTTCCTTCCTACCATGTACTGGGCATTATACTATATATACTACAACCTTTTTCTGAACAGGTCAGTAGCTAGTACTTGCCTAACTCCAAAGCCGTTCTTATTTCCATGCTATGCTGCTTGTTTAATAATCACAGCTTGTATTACCCTGTGCCTTGGCCAAGATACTTTTAAATAACCCATTGGCTTTTAGTAGATAATCTGGTTTTTATGATTATTTCCTTAATTTTACTGTTTGGATGTATGCTGAATTGTGCTTTCTTTCTAACCTGAATTTTGCTGATTTTGTTCTTTCATAATTTAACTCAGGTGTAATGTCCTTGCTGAGGCCTCTTCTTCTGGATGTGGTCCCAACAATTCAACAGACTGCTGCTTTGGCTCTTGGGAGACTGGCCAATTATAACGATGACCTAGCTGAAGCTGTGGTGAAGGGTGACATTCTTCCACAGCTTGTTTATTCCTTGGCAGAACAGAATGTAAGATTTTTAAGAAATAATAATCATGTGTTTTTGTTTTAGATTTTAAAAATTCTGATAGTTTGCATATAGTTGTAAGCTTAGGCATTAAAATTATTAGGGTGTATTAACTAACATTCAGTTTTCAGAACTGCCCATTATAATACCTTTAGAGTATTTTGCTTTGGGGCTGATATGCAGCTTTTCTCCATTATTGTTAATACAAGGTGAAAATAGATTTAAACTTTTTTTGGGGGGAATTATATATAAAGCAGTATTTCTATATATGGGTGCTTTAAACAAAGCTATAGGATCTGCAACATTATATAGGCAAACATTGACTTTTCATAAAAGGCATGATGCATTTTTGCATAGAACAACATAGAAAAATATATCATGACTTTTCCAATGACCCAATAATAGTTGCTTTCAACAATCCTTATATGCAGGTGAAATCTGGTTAGTGGGGAACAGTGACAGAAAGCCTTGAAGCAAGGGATAAAAGACAACCAAAATGAGGAAGAGGATGTGTACAATGGAAGGCTTGATAAAGCGTTATGTACCAAGTATACAAGCATGTCAGAAGCACTCTCTAAAAATGCTCCAATTTCTCCCTTCCTATTTGGTGCCATTCTGTATTTCTATACAGTGTTGTCTTTTTGGTTCCACAGTAGTTATGGGCCTACTGTAGGTAGGGTCACAGACTGTTCATTCCATTCTGCTAGTTTATCGTAACTCAGGGATGTGTCTTTCTTGACATGTATTTGAGACTAAATCCCTATTTGTGTAACAAAAAGAAACAACCCAAGTGAAAAATGGGCTAATAACTTGAATAGATATTTCCCCAAATAATATCTATAAATGGCGAACATATGAAAAAAGATTCAGGGGCCAGCAGGTGGCATGGTAGTTAAGGTGCTGGACTCTTACTTGGCTGATCAAGGTTCGAGTCCCAGACCTGGTGGTTTGCTTGCTCACTTTCCCTCTCTTTCTGGTCAAAATAAAATAAAATAAAATAAAATAATTCAGTTATTAGAAAATACAAATCAAACCCACAATGAGCTATCATTTAATACCTACTGGGACAGTCATAATAAAAAAGAAAATAAAGGGGGGTGGATAACAAGTGTTGGCAAGGATGTGGAGAAATCAGAACCCTCATTTCTTGCTCAGTGAAATGTAAAGTGATATATCTGCCAAGCTAAAGAAGCTAGACACAAAGGCCATCAATTGTATGATTTTATCTATATGAACTATCTAGAATAGTTAGTTCATATAGATAAAATGCAAATCCATAGAAAGAGAAGCAGGTTAATGGTTACAAAAGGCTTGAGGGGGAGGTATGGGAAGTGACTGCTTTAACTGTAAGGAATTTCTTTTTCTTTTTTTTTTTTTTTGGAGAGATTTTCACTGTAGGGCGCGTGCGCTCGCCAGACAGACAGAGAGAGACATAGAGACAGAAAGCGAGAAATCACCCCCCAGGGGGGATGGTCACGCCACAATCCCTTCTCCTCCATTCTCCTCTCGGGATCTTGGGCACGCACGCACATGCGCCCGGCGTGAGTTTTAAGCCACCGGGTCCGGGACACGAACCGCGGTCGACTACGTGGGAGTCCAGCGACATAGCCATTATGCTAACTGCTGGTTCCCAACCTGTAAGGAATTTCTTGATGGGGTAATAAAAATATTCTGGAACCGAGGCTGGCAGGTGGCATGGTAGTTAAGGGTACTGGACTCCCACATTGCCCACCACGGTTCGAGTCCCAGACCTAGTGGCTTGCTTTCTCACTTTTCCTTTCTCTCTCTGTCTCACTTTGTCACTCTCTGGTCAAATTGAAATAAATAAAGTTAAATAAAATAATTATTTAAAAATATTTATTTATTTAATTCCATTTATTATTATTTTTCAAAAAAAATTTTTGGAGAGGGTTTTGCTATAGGGCGTATGTACAGAAAGACAGAGCGAGACAGAGACAGAAAGCAAGAAATCATCCCCAGGGGTATGGCCATGCCGCAATCCCTTCTCCTCCATTCTCCTCTTGGGATCTTGGGCATGCATGCACATGTGCCCAGCGTGAGTTTAAGCCACCAGATCCGGGACTCAAACCGTGGTCGACCACATGGAAGTCCAGCGACATAGACATTACGCCAACTGCTGGTACCTTATTATTATTTTTAATTTGACCAGAGAGAGAGAGAGAGAAAGGGAAAGCGAGAAAGCAAGCTGCCAGGTCTAGGACTCGAACTACAGTCGGCCATGTGGGAATCCAGTGCCCTTAATCACCATGCCACCTGCTGGTCCCATAAAATAATTCTTTAAAAAGAAAAATTCTGGAACCACATAGATAGTGGTAATGGTTGCACAACATTGCAAATGCTTTAAATGCCCCTTAATTGTACACCTTAAAATGGTTAAAATGGTAAATTTTATATGTTTTATGTGAATAAAAAATTAATCCTAATTGTACAGAAATTTACCTTATTTTATAGACTGGAGAATCATTTACTAATGCCTGTTATAGAGCCTATGCACTTGCCAGAGAGAGCCAGAGAAGAAAGTGAGAAATCATACCCTGGGGGATAACTATGTTGTAATCCCTTCTCCTTCATTCTCTTCTTGGAATTCTGGGAATTACCCACACATATGCCCAGTGTGATGTTCAAGCTGCTGGATCTGGGACTCAAACTGTGTTCAACCATGTAGAAACCCAGCACTTTAACCACATGCTACCTGCTGGCTCCATTATTGTATAAAATTTGAAAAACTTATTTAATTTTTAAATTATTATTATTATTATTATTTTTAATTTGCTATAGGGTACATGCATTCACCAAAGACAGAGACAGAGAGAGAAAAATAGGGAAAGTGAGAAAGCAAGTCACCGGGTATAGGACTCGAACTGCAGTTGGCCATATGGGAATCTAGCACCTTAACCACCATGCCACCTGCTGGTCCCATTGTATCAATATTTTAGCCCAAGAAGTAAATATTTAAAAAAAGAAATTAAAGTCACCTAGTCACTTTTTAGTAGCTGCTGTACAGAAAAAGAAACTTAGAACATAAATAGGGGATTATCTGGGTTTTAATAATAAGGGAAAAGTCAGGAGAGCATCACTGGGTCATTATGCTAATGATAAAACAACAGCATCACTGACAAATATTTCCTGTACAATGAACTTTTTTAGTCATATGAAGAGAAATATTAGTCTTCTGTTTTAATTTCATTTCATCATTCTTAACCAGATGAACATTATATAAAGAAAATATAAACATGAAGCAATATACTTAAAATTCACATACTGTTTGCTTTTAGCTTTTTAAGAAAGCACTTCTAGAGGGGATGAATAACTTACTTACTATCCCATTGTTTGGTTATTTATTTGCCAGGAAAAAATTAAAACATCATGGATGTTTTGCTTTTATGTTTATTTACTAGTTGGGAAGTGCATCTTGAAACACGGTTGTTATTTCAGGATAGCTTGGGACACAGAAAGATTAGTTGAGTTCATGAAAAGCCTACGGTGCTTAGAGACTGGGGGCAAGTAAAGGGAATGAATTAGTCAGTTGACAGTTTAGTTGCATATGCTAACAATATAAGGGTTCCCATGGGTCAAACAATACCTCTCAGTGTAATATAGATACATAAAATCCCATTATTTTATGAATTTGTAGAAAATATGTTTATTTTTATGTAATTTTCAAATGCTTGGTTCAGAGCAGAACATTTAAAATGTAATAATTTAAAACTTGGGACCAGCAGATGGTATAATGGTTATGTTGCTGGAGTCCCACAGTCTTTTGCGGTTTAAATTCCAGACCCAGCGGCTTAAAACTCATGTTGGGCATGTGTGTGTGTGTGTGCCCAAGATACCGAGAGGAGAATGGAGAAGAAGGGACAGAGCTGTGGTCATCCCCCCAGAGGGTAATTTCTCTCTTTCTGTCTCTCTGTCTCTATCTTTCTGGCAAGCATACATGCCCTATAGCAAAAATCTCTCTAAAAAAACCTATAAAATAAAATAATAACTTATAACTTGTTTACAACTTAGTTATTGAACAAAAGGAATGGGGGAACATTGAATAATCAAAATGATTTTGTAGGATGTTCATCTTTTGTATTCAAAAGATGTTTAGTTTATATTAATGTTATTTTTATAGTGGCTTTTTCTATTTTAGATTTTGGTTATGTAAGTGCTTAATCTATTTTGGATTTTGTATTGTATCCTTGTAGCGTTTTTACAAGAAAGCAGCTGCCTTTGTGTTACGAGCAGTTGGTAAACACTCTCCTCAGCTAGCTCAGGCAATCGTTGATTGTGGAGCACTGGATACTCTGGTGATATGCCTGGAAGATTTTGACCCTGGAGTCAAGGAGGCTGCAGCCTGGGCACTTGGATATATTGCAAGACATAATGCAGGTAAAGAAGCATATTTTAAAATAGGATTTTTAAAGTTTAGATTTATTAGGCAAATCTGGTTTTGGTTAGTAAGCCATAGATGGGGTTTTAACGGTATTTCCTTACTTTCTGATAAATAAATGTTGAGTGATGGCTGAGTTGTATAGATTATATAGTCACAAAAAAATCTATGCATTTCAGTCTTTATCTTGGTTGGCAGGTGAAAAATTTGAAGAGAGGGTGAAAGGAAAAGGGATGCCAAAGGGTAGGGGATTGATTCTCAAAGGGTTTGATAAATTGGTTTAGTTAAAAAGATTATTTTAGTTTGTCAACTTTCAGGGGGTTATTGAGGTGATTGGGTCATTATAATCGGTCATTTTTAATCCAGTCAGGAGCCATATCACATGAACAAGTGATGCTGAGAAAGATACGGACATAACTTTCTAGAAAACATTTGTATTCAATTCATACTGGACAGGAAGAAGCAGCAGCACCTTCTCCTATAAACTGACAGTTTAGTGAATTCATCAAGAAGAGATTGTACCCAGTGGTTAAGGGAGCTGGATCCCACATGGCTGACTGAGATTTGAATCCCATCCTTAGCAGCTTGAAAAACACATTGAGCACATGTGTGTCTGTGTCCAACATCTCAGCAGGACAGAGAGATGAGAAAGGATTGAGGTGTGACCATACCTCACTGGTACTCTCTCCCTCTGTCTGTTTCTATTGAGCATATGAATGAATCCTCTAGCAATTAAAAAATAAAGAGAGAAAGAGCAAAAAAGGAACCTGGGCCTCTTGTAAGAAGGTTGTGCTAGGGTCGGCAGGTGGTGTGGTGGTTAAGGGTGCTGGACTCCCACATGGCTGACCACTGGTCAAGTCCTGGACCTGGCAGGTCACTTTCTCACTTTCCCTCTCTCTCTCTCTTACTCTGTCCCTCTCTGGTCAAATTAAAATGAATGAATGAAGTTAAAGTATAAAAATTAACTCTTAAAAAAAAAACGAAAGTTGTCCTGACACACTCAACTAGTAAACAGTGCATAGGGAACAGAATTGCCACCAATCTATGCAAGTTGCTTATGAGCAAATGTTGTAAGAAGAAAGTACAGCTTTTAGAGATGTGCCATGGATTCGGTAGCAACCAGAGTTCCCGTCGGGCCTGAGCTGTACTAGCACCTCCCTCAGGAGACCGTTGCTGTCAGTGAGCCCGTTACACGGTAACCATGTGAGACAGAAAGGCCGTGATCAAAAACGCGGACATGTCAGAAGAGATGCAAGAGGACTGAGTGGAGAGCGTGACTCAGGCGTTGGAGAAATATAACATAGAAAAGGACATTGCGGCCCATATCAAGAAGGAGTTTGGGGACCAGCAGTTAGCGTAATGGCTATGTCGCTGGACTCCCACGTAGTTGACCACGGTTCGAGTCCCGGACCCGGTGGCTTAAATTCACGCCGGGCTTGTGTCTCTCTGTCTCTTGTCCTCTGACAGGAGAATGGAGAAGAAGGGATTGTGGCATGACCATCCCCCCTAGGGGGTGATTTCTTGCTTTCTGTCTCTCTGTCTCTCGCTCTCTGTCATTCAGGTGAGCACATGTGCCCCATAGCAAAATCCTCCCCCCCCCAAAAAAAAAAAACCTCCTAGTAACGGCCA